CTGACCACACTCGGCAGCTCAGAGGCAGAAATAAAAGAAATAGGTGACTGGACGGATCCCATCCTACGTGTGTGTGCACGAGCATGCACAGGGGGCATGCATGCATGTGACCGGCAGCAAAGGCAGGGGGAGTCCTGGGGAAGGGCTGGTTGCAATGGTGGTAACACGGATTGGACTGAATCGGCAGAGATGAGGACGGGCAGGCTGAGAGGGCCCGAGAATTAGGGGAAATGGATGCAGAGGTGCACGTGGGTAGGGGTTCGTCTGCTCCGCTCCCCACTCTACCCTTAGCTCCTAAACTAATGCCCACGACACGGTCAGTGCCTGGTGGATATTTGTGCATCAGTAACTGAACCTATTGCCAACGGTGAGTGTGCAGCTCAGTGTCCCCAAGGGGGGAAACTCACTCTCCACAGCTCGAATGAGAGTGGGTCTTGGCTCTCCAGGCCCTGCAGTGATGCGGCTCAGGGTGCTGACGGGACCGTGGAGTCTTCCTACGTGAGAGGGAAGAGCACGGTGCGGGGAGAATGCCTTCCCACTGGTGTTCACCCTGGTCAGCAGACGGCAAGAAGTTCTCAAGTGGGGCTAACAACACCTACCTCGGCTTCTGAAAACTCCTGCTTTACCATGTGCGAGGCCCCTTCCTCTGCCACTATGGAGGTTCCAACCTGCCTCCAAGTTTTGCGACTGTAGGATGTCCCCCGGCCACTGGGGTGCTCTCCGCCAAGGCCACTCGGAGTTGAGTAGTGCCAGACCTGGAATGGCAGGCCTGGGAGGGCTACTGCTCTCTGCACCCTCTCTCCCAGTGGGGGTGCATCCGCGCCTGACGCCATCTCTGCGGGTGGACCCTGGTTCTGCAGCCGCGGCCAAGTGTGGAACACGAGACGGCCCAAAGTCACTGATCCTGACTTGGTGGCCTGTGGCCCGGCCAGAGTCTCTGAGAAGCAATCATGGGGTCGCATTTCACTTGTGGAGAGAGATGTAGCTTGGTGCAGTGGGGAGGGCCCGAAGTTTGGAGTCAGATCTAACTGAACAGAGGTGGCAATTTATTCGCGGTATTGGGAGGAGAATCAGCATGTTGGGCCCCCATCTCCCTCTCTTCTTTTTTTTTTTTTTTTGAGATTTTATTTGACAGAGAGACACACAGCGAGAGAGAGCACAAGCAGGGGCAGGGGGAGAGGGAGAAGCAAGCTCCCCACTGATCAGGGAGCCCAAAGCAGGACTCGATCCCAGGACCCTGAGATCATGACCTGAGCCAAAGGCAAACGCTTAACGACTGAGCCACCCCTCACCTCCCTCTCTTTACCCAGGAGTAATAATACCTGATTCAAGGGCTGTGAAGATTTACAATCATCCTGAATGATGGAGGGATGTTTCATAACGGATAGTTCCCTTCCCTCAGACCTTTTCCCTTTTTAGATCATTATTAAGACTCTGCAGGCTCTGTGATCACTCCTGGTGATCTGACTCAGGAGGAAAGGGGAGGTCCTTTCAGGCTACATCATGGGTCAGTGAAGACGGGTTTTCAGTCCTCTGTCCCGCATGCTGAGAACACCCAGCAGCATGACACCAGCCTCAGGCCCTTTGAGGACATGCTCAGAGGAGAAAGCAGAATCCCCCGATTTCAAATTCATGTTATTTAACATATCGGGGTCTTATTTTTCATCATCGGTTGAATGGAAGTGGTAATTCCGCCCCCTCTCTCACAGATGTTTCGAATATGCATTACAGCGAGAGAATATATAATTGCCAAATAGTAAGCCATGCTGGCTGGGATGGCAGCCCAAATTTAGATCCCCAGGGATACGTGGTTAATATTTCCACTGGATGAATTCCCAAAACTTGACTTAAAGCAGTCAGCCTTTTCCACAGTCTTTTACTGGGTGCTTTTATTCTCACGAAGGCTAACGGTGCACGTGTTACAGGGATGAATCTATAGATGTTTAAACAAAAGGAGAGAGGCTAGGAGCGGCTAGAGAGACTGCTTGCAGGCACGCACATGTGCTGCTGGCTGGGCTGGGGCTGTTCCAGCCGCCGCGCTCTTGTTGAGAAAGGAGAAAGGTCAGCGAGCTCGTGGGGAAATCGCCCAGCCGGACGGGAGCTCCTTTATGGACCCCGGCATAGTCCAAGGTCTGAGTCCTTTATGAAGATAATTCATCCTGCAATTCCTTTGGAGAAAATAGCCTGCGGGCACCCCTGGAAAGGCACTGAGGTACAGCTGGGAATTCTGCCCAGGCACCAAGGTAAAAATGCACAATTCACCTACGCGAGAGCATCTGTCTCCTCTCTTGGAGAAAACAGACTCTTGGTGTTTTGCTTCTGTGTTGCTCAGCTGGCTGCAAAGTGGGGACTCAGGAGAGTGGGGTCTGGGAGCCAGGATCCTCTGTGATGGGTGCCAAGGTGACACCCACCCTGGGAGGTGGTAATAATTCAAGTGACAGATGATGGGGAGAGGGGAGGATAGGGCAGAGGGTGGAAGTAGCCAGAGAGAATTAATGCACCTAAGAATCTGAGGAAGAGGAAAGACTTCAAGGTTAAAGTCTACAGGACTGAATGGATAACGACATCACAGATTTGAGGGACCACAGAAGGCCTGGGGAGGTCCAGATGATGAGTTTGGCTTTGGAGCTGCTGAGTTAGAAGCATTCAGGTGGCCAAGGCTGGACACAGAAACCCGAGGCTCTGCAGAAAGAGCAGCTTTTGCAATGAGCTACAGAAGGAGCTCCACCTTGTGACAATATTCTGCTAGGGGTCTGTCCACAAATGTGGCCCAGGAGAGTTTTTCCCTGGGCAACGTGTTCTCTGAGATGCCTACTGCAGCCACCTAGGAAAATGGGTGGCAAATGGCAGAAGCATTCATTCCTGCTTCTCCATATTGTGAGCCCGGGCCCTACCTCTGCAGCTCTCCTCTGTGTATCTGGTATCACAGACAGAAGTCACGAGTGACTTGGATCGGCCGGCATATCCTCAGCGACAATTTTGTGGCGCCCCAAGCTTTCCTCCAAGGCTCGGTTCCCGAAACCCACCAATAACTCAGCTCATAATGGACCCTTGCAAAAAGCAGCTAATATACAACCAGCCCGGTATTCTCTCTTCTTGATTAATGTTGGTGAAAAGCAGCAGGAAGGAGGGGAGATCCTGATGTATTCTGGCAAGTGGACTCATCCACCTTTGATTACAGGTTAATGAAACACTTAAATTCAACGGAGCCTTGCCCGACGTTGCCGCACCCCCACACCACCCCTCACCCCCCTAGTGGAATTGTGAACTCTCCTTTATGCAGTTACCTTTCCATTTATCTGAGAAAATGGAGCCACCATTAAAGAGACTGTGACATCAAGATCACGCCCATCAGTAATGGAAATGGCTAAGGTTAGCTCTGATAGGTTTGCAGCTTTTAAACAAATAAAAAGGGCATTAAATCCAAGTTTAATTTTGCTCCGCCAGCAGAGGTGAAGATACATATTCTCGTCTGGGACATGGACCCTTTAACTCTTACTTAGGCTCTCTGATGCCTTCCAGGGTATCAGGATGGCTAAGATTAAAACTGCATTCCTGACCATGCTCTTTAGGAAGAACTGAACTGAGTTGTTTGTGTCCTGCTCTTGAACTTGTTAACATATATATATATTTTTAAAGATCTTATTTATTTATGTATTTGCGAGAGAGAGTGCAAGCGCACGCATGACCCGGGGTTGGGGGGCAGAGGGAGAGGGAGAAGCAGACTCCCCACTGAGCGGGGAACCCGATGTGGGGCTTGATCCCAGGACCCTGGGATCATGAGCTGAGCCCAAGGCAGCCGCTTAACTGACTGAGCCACCCAGGCGCCCCATTGAACTTTAACATATTTTAAAAGGACAGGGTGCGTGTATTGGGTATGAGTGCTGGTGTCTGCTGGAAGACGGAGGCATTCGGGCCTAAATGCCCCTGCAGTTGTGCACAATGAAGGTTCTGCACAAAAACCGCCTGGTGGTTCCAAGGACGGGGTGCTCTGGGAGACGCTGGATCTGGACGCTCAGATCCTGGCTTTGCCCCTGAACCCAAGACACAACCCCCCCGCCCCCGACTTGCCAAAACCTTCTGCAAATGAAAGTGGTAAGTCCGGCTGACTTCATGTTTGCAAATGTGAGCCATGAGAAGCAAATTATATTCTCTGCAGTCACAGAATAAAACTTCTTATAATAGATTAGTGAACAGAAAATGCCCATCGTTTCTGGCATTTTATTAAGCTGTATTCTCCCTTCCTGGGGAATGCATTGAACTATGGTTTGCTGCTGCATTTCAACTATTCCTATTTGGAATAAGATAAAATAGGCAAGTTTTAAGAGGCCAAGTGTCACTTGTGAGAAAAGGAAAGAAGACTCAGGGGCGCCTGGGTGGCTCAGTCGGTTAAGCGTCTGCCTTCGGCTCAGGTCATGATCCCGGGGTCCTGGGATCGAGTCCCGCGTCGGGCTCCCTGCTCAGTGGGGAGCCTGCTTCTCCCTCTCCCTCTCCCACTGCTTGTGTTCCCTCTCTCACTGTGTCTCTCTCTGTCAAATAAATAAAATCTTAAAAATAATAATAATAAAATAAAAATAAAAATAATGAAATAGGGGCACCTGGGTGGCTCAGTCGGTTAAGCGTCTGCCTTCGGCTCAGGTCATGATCCCAAGGTCCTGGGATCGAGTCCCGCATCGGGCTCCCTGCTCAGCGGGGAGCCTGCTTCTCCCTCTCCCTCTCCCCCTGCTTGTGCTCTCTCTGTCTCTCAAATAAATAAAATCTTAAAAAAAAAAAAAAAAAGGAAAGAAGACACAGACATTTGTGATATAGCTCCAAATGACCACCACCAATAATAATAATAATAACCCCAGGATTTGTGTTACTATAAGAGACTCAGTTTAGTTTGAGACAGATGGACCACAACGAACTCGATTCCCCTTTCCTTTAATCACGCTGCCCTCCCAGACTTCTTGACAAAGAAAAAACAAAGAAGCAAAAGGATGGATACGAGGTGTACATACCTGACACAAAAGTATAAAACCACTGGTCCTGACTTTTTGGGGAAGTCATGTTCCAATACTCTTCGGTCTAGTTGAAGCCAGTTTAAGTGTCCCCTGAGGAGAGAGAGACAAATGGGTTAGGACTCTGGAGTTTGTGGAAGCTTCTGTGACGAAGGCATGTGCACAGCAGAACATGTTGGATCGCAGATCAATGTGGACCGCTCCCTCACTCCTAAGTTCTCAGTATTTGAAGAACCTCAAGGAGTTATCTGGGGGGATACTGAATCGGCAGCAGATACCATGTGACACGAAGGAGAGGAATGACAATGAGAAAGTCTGGGGTTCGCGACCTGCTATCCATTTCCTTGATTGTGCTAAAATTAAAATGGAATCCTACCCTCTCTCTCGTCCTGAATTCCCTTGCCACCACCCACCTGAGTGCCTTTTTTCCCGAAGACTCAAAACCCACTTTAGAAATGTTAGCAATCTTCACATTTTGCTGGAAGCAGACAGGGTGAAAAGTGAATCACAGACAGTTTCTTAAAAAATGCAACTCACACCCACCATATGACCCAGACATTCTACGCCGAGGTATTTACCTGAGAGAAATGAAATCTATGTCCATGCCAAGACTTTTTTACATGCAGATGTGTAGAGACACTTTACTTGTAACAGGTCAAAACTTAGAACAACCCAAATGTTTATCAATAGGGGAATGAGCATGATATAGTTGTAGAACAGAATACTATCGCCCCAATAAAGACAGTGAGCTATTGGTACATACATCAACATAGATGAATCTCAGAGTAATTGTGCTGAGTAAAAGATGCCAGACAAAAGAGTACAGACTGTAGGAGTTCATCTTTATGAAACTCCAGAAGGTGCAAACTGATCTATCCTGACAGAGGACACATTGGTGGTTGTCTGGGGGGTGGGTGCGAGGGAGGGCTTTCAGTGGGGCAAGAGGAAACTTTTGGGAGTGATGGATATGTTCATTATCTTGATGGTAGTGATGGTTTCATGGGTGTAGACACATATCAAAACTCATCAAACTGTACTCTTTACCGAGTGTTTATTGTATGTCAATTTTACCTCATCAAAGCTATTTTAAACAGTGAACCACAGAGACCTTTGATGATATACAAATGGAGTGGCTTATCATTTCTTCCTTCCCTCTCTTCTTTCCTTCTGTAAATATTAATTAATCGCCTTCTCTGAGAAAGGGTCTGGAGATGCAGCAGTGTACAAAATAAACACGATCCCGATTCCCCTGAGCTTACAGTCTTGTAAGGAGATAGACACTCAACCACTATTCCCACAATTAATGGCAAAATTACTAATCAGGGGGCACCTGGGTGGCTCAGTTGGTTAAGTGTCTGCCTTCGGCTCAGGTCATGATCCCGGGGTCCTGGGATCGAGCCCCGCATAGGGCTCCCCGCTCAGCAGTAGGCCTGCTTCTCCCTCTCCCACTTCCCCTGCTTGTGTTCCCTCTCTTGCCTGTGTCTCTCTCTGTCAAGTAAATAAATAAATAAATAAATCTTTAAAAAAAAGAATTACTAATCAGAATGGTATCAGGACCTAACACTTATGGTACAACACTTACGGTATAATGAGAACATGTAAGGACCTGAGTTTGGGGCCCAGAAGTACTGCCTGGTGTTTGAGATTTGAAGAACAATAAGAGTTAACTTAGCAAAGAGAAGGGGAACTATGTTCTAAGCAGTGCAGCCAGCATGTGCAAAGGCCCTGAGGCAGGGAGAAGTCTGGCATGTTGATGTGGTGTGAGTACAAAGGGATGAGGCTGGAGAGGGCGAGGACCAGCTGCTAGGGTCTGGGAGGCCACGTTGAGAAGATGGTCTTTGCCGAGTGAGGCAAACCACAGGACAGGTATGAGCAGAGGAGTCTGCCTTTTCCTCTCCTCTCCTGACCCAATCTCAGTCCAGCAGCCCGGAGGGCCAAGCCCTATAATCACCTTTACTCAGGAGGCTCATGTTGAACAGACACAACTGATACACGAAGCCTCCTTGGGGGCCTGATGCTATGAAACACGTTCATAATGAATATGCACGTGTGAAATGCTGGCATTGGTCTGTGGATAATGGGAGACAAAACGTGTCTGACTCACTGCATTAGAATGTTTGCTCCTCCAAGCACATGCTTGCCTCCAACAAATGCAAGACAGAAAACACGCTAGAGGTTTTCATCTCCACTTTGAGGCTCATTCAAGCTGCACCTTTTGCACAAAATACCTCTTTCAATGTGACTCTAGAGATGGCATTTGGATCTGCTTCTGGAGAGTGTCCATCTGAGGAACTCGGGCTCTTTTTCCTCCTTCAATGAATCTCCATCTAGAAAAACATTTCTTTTTCTACTAACTTTACCTTTCATGTTTGGTTATTCTTCTCTGAACATAGTAAGGATAAAAAATAATGGGAAAAAAGGTTTTCTAAATAAACGACTGGATCACTTTCTTCCAGAAAGGTGGGGTAAATTCCCGTCCAACTAGAACACGGGATCTGGAAGCAGAAGGTACCAACTTGGTCTCTGGTTGTACTGGAAATGCCGAGAATGCCCCACAGGGTCATACTTTTTCAGATCTCTGTGCCTGAGCTCATGTTGCTCTCTCTGCCTAGAATGCCCTTCTCCTCCTTCATCACCGAGCGAAGGCTGAACCATCCTTCAAGACCAGGCTCTCTTGTGTCTCTTCCAGAAAGCGCTCCTTGACCCACCTTCTCACGCCACACAGCAGCCTGGGCTGGGCACCTCTCTGGACCCTCACGGCACCCACCCCAGGCACACCTGCTCCCATGCTGCCCACCATCCATGGAACGTCCCCTGCATATGCTTTCTGTCTCCCCAGTAGACCCTTTACATCTAAAAAACAGAGACCTACTTCATAAGGTGGAAGTGTGTGCTTGATCAAACGGAAGGTATTAACACAAATGTTAGCCCTAATTATTGGATAATAAATGACAGCCACTCTCTTCCTGCCTCTGAGAAGGTCCGAAATCTTCCAGAGCCTTCTCTCTAATTAGGCTCAGCCTCTTGCAAACATGCCCCATGCATGCTCTATGCTGTGCCTCTGATCATGCTGTTTCTCCTAATTGGAATAGTCTCTCCTCCTCATTATCCAAACGCTAGCCATTGTTCAAGGCTGAGTTCCAGTCTTTCAGAGAAGTCATCCTTCATTGTTTCCGTCTGGGGTTTCTTTCAAACTTCTCCAGGCTTGTGTGTGTGTCGTCTACAGAGCATTTAGCATATTTTGTACAACTTGTTATTTAAAGAATATGACCCGTCTCTCTAAGATGTTACGTTTTCAACACTTAAAAAAAAAATGTCATCCCCGAACCTCACAGTGCCTGATAAGTATTAGATGCTCAAAAGGACTTGCTCATTGATTGGCCACCAAAAGCAATAGATGTATGCCTGCATCTCAATTTATGAAAGTGACTGAGTGACAACACAGAGGTTAATGCTATTGAAAGAAAAGCTGAATGTTATCCAGAGCTTCCCTGGTGATGAGAGGTGCACCACACCACACAGGGCCATGGGGGAAGTGCCAGTGTTGGTTATGAGGCTGAGAAGGAATAAGGAGAAGGCAAAGGTCAGAGCCTTTACTGGGGTTTCCATGGGAAAGACAAGACAAGGCAGGGGAAACAGCATAGGGTTGGCTAGTTTTAACGACTCTGGTTTTAACGACTCTGGCAGGCTCTGAGGCATAAGTAGGCTGCCCCCAGCTGTCCAGTACCTGGCCCTGAACTGATTAAGGGTCGGGGCAGCCCTATAGAGAAGGTGGCTCAGAGGATGGGCTCTGGGTCACAGGGGAGATGTAAACAGCTTCAGCTGTTCATCTGGCTTTGGAATTAATGGATGCCAAGTAAACAGAGAATCTGAGAAAACTCCGAATAGCAATCCATCCAATGACCATGCGGATTTAAATTTTAATCTCTTGCCTGACGATAATTTGTGATAAAGGGTCTAGCGGGAAGAACCTTTTTATGATTGTCACAAGAGAAAGCCACAGCCCAGTCCAATGGCCCAACATTACTGACCACACGGACTGTTGGGGATTCGACCTGAGCTTTGGGGGGCATGATTCACTTGGTGAAGAACCTCCAGGTGAGGACACTGTGCATGACGGGACACAGACATATGTGTCCCTTGGATGCTACTCTGTTCTGTTCGGGGTGCTCACTGCTCTTCTTCATCCACGTGAACAGAAGAGAAGAGGAACAGATTCCCTCTCTAGAGAATTTCATTCCCCACATTAAAATTTTTTTAAAGATGGGCACTTCAGTGGTGCAGTCAGTTACGTGTCTGACTCTTGGCTTTGGCTTGGGTCATGATCTCAGGGTCGTGAGGTCGAGCCCCCTGTCGGGCTGTGCTCAGTGTGGAGTCTGCTTGAGTTTCCCTCTCTCCCTCTCCCTCTGCCCCCCCCTCAAATAAATAGATAAATCTTTAAAAAATTAAAAAAAATTTTTTTAAAGAATGACAGTTTCATAATAAATTTACTTAACTGGAAATTCCTTTGTTCGCAGCCATATATTGGTTTAGCATTTACCAAACACTGAAATATTTAGACAGTGAGAACATGATCAGGAAGCAGAGAGAACCAGGAGGCCAGAATCACCCCAAATAGCTAGCCTCCGAGGAAAAATGAATTTCCTTTCTCCACTTCCTCTGCTTGAACTCCTCAACCCCCAGCTGAGGGCTGTGAGGGATGGCATGACGCACACACGCATGCAGGGTTCTGACAACCATGGACAGGTGGACTCCCCACACCCGGAGTCCTGAGACCCTCGGGTGGAAGGAAGCGGCCCCCTCCGTTTTGCACGCCTGCAAAAATCTCTTCACCGCAGGCTGCTCACAAAGGCAAAGACCGGGGACACCTGGGTGGCTCAGTCGAGAAGCGTCTGCCTTCGGCTCAGGTCATGGTCCCAGGGTCCTGGGATCGAGCCCCGCATCGGGCTCCCTGCTCGGCGGGGAGCCTGCTTCTCCCTCTCCCTCTCCCCCTGCTTGTGTTCCCTCTCAAGCTGTCTATCTTTCTGTCAAATAAATAAATAAAAAATCTTAAAAAAAAAAAAAAGGCAAAGACCAAAGGGACAAGTGACTCA